TCTTCAGCATTTGCATAGCATTTCACAGACTTAAATGAAATATTGGTTGGCTGTTTGTTTGTTATTTTCTTCCCTTATTCCTTCCTGTCTCCGCTGTTAAGCACAATTATCGGCATAAAAGAGGTTTTTAATACCTATTTTTAGATTGCATTCCAGCCTGGGCAATAGAGCAAGACTCCTGTTCTCTCTCCCCCTTTCTCTTTCTCTTTCTTTCAAAAAAAAAAAAAAAAATCTCAGTTTCAATGTCAAGTCCATGAAGTCTTCTCAGATAACCTCAATTAGAAATAATCTTGCTGTGATAAAAAATTCCAATGTCTTTATTGTTTGTTTCACTCATAAGGGACATTACATAATCCTTTCCCCTGTAGTGTGGGATAGACCTAGTGAATTACTTCTAAGGAACAAAATTTGGCAAAAGTGATACAATATCACTTCTGATATTAGATTATAAAAAGGGTGGCCTGCATACCTCTCTCTCTCTCTCTCTCTCTCTCTTGCTCGCTTGCTCACTTGCTCTCTTTCATAGAAGCAAATTGCCATATTGTGAACTGACATATGAAGACATATCCTTGTGCTAAGAAACAGAAGCCAGTCTCAGGCCATAACTAGGGAGGAATTGAATCCAGCCATCAACATTGTGAGTCAGCTCGGAAGTAGATTTATCCCATTTGAGCCTCAATGTAACTATAGCCCCAACTAACATCTTTTTTGTTTTTTGTTTTTGTTTTTTTGAGTCGGAGTTTCACTCTTGTTGCCCAGGCTGGAGTGCAATGGCACGATCTCAGCTCACCACAACCTCTGCCTCCCGAGTTCAAGCGATTCTCCTGCTTCAGCCTCCCGAGTAGCTGGGATTACACACACGCGCCACCACGCCCGGCTAATTTTGTGTTTTTAGTAGAGACGGGGTTTCTCCATGTTGGTCAGGCTGGTCTCGAACTCCCAACCTCAGGTGATCCACCTGCCTCAGTCTCCCAAAGTACTGGGATTACAGGTGTCAGCCACTGGACCTGGCCCCAGCTAAGATCTTAATTGCAGCCACATGAAAGAGACCATGGGCCAAAGGATCTAGCACATTCATGCTTGGATTTCTGACCCACAGCAAATGTGAGATAATTGTTCTTTTAAACCATTAAGTTTATAGATACTTTTTTACACAGCAATAGGGAATTGACTCTAACCTGAAAGTGTAGCTCTTTGTATAATAGAGTATTTCTTTCAATCATTCATTCATGCATCCATCAAATATTTAGTGGATATCTACCATTCTTTCTTTTAGGTGCTGGGTTAGGCAAGATGAATCAGATTTCAACTTTGCTATATATTATATATGTTGTTATACTTACATATATAATTTAAAAATATAAAATGGATATGAATGTGCATAGTTGAATGTCTTCTCTTCATTTAAGACCAAGTATGGGCCTTTGAAAATATCTTTTTTATGAGGTGCATATCAATGAAGAAGTTAAATAAATAGTTAAATGAATATTTAAATTTATTACTCTTCTACTGATGGTATTTTGGTTTCTGGTTACATTTCTCTTCATGCATATAATTCTAGTCTCTGAATATTTCCATAGGATAGCTTTCTAGGAGTGATCTTATTGGACAAATGGACTTAGGGCATTTTTAAAGCTTTTAATAACTTTTCAAGTTGTATGTACCAGTTTATGTTTTCTGCAGTGATGTATGAGTAAGCATTCTCCCAAAGTTTTATTTTTAACATCTACACATGGAATCTTAGGTCAAAGTTAGAACTGACCATGCAAAGCAACCTAGAGTAGCAAGTTTTAAGCTTTTCACTCCTGCAGTGTGTTTGGAAACGCTGTGGGCTGTAACAGACAAATGAGCTTGAAGAGCTCAAAGGGTTTTTCCTCAGGTGTCCTGAGATATTCTCATTGAACAGGCATTGGGTTTGAAGGCTCTTGCTCAGTGTAGACACTTTCATAAATGTTACTCATGAATGACTGACTGCACCGGACTGATGATGATAAAGGTGAACTCTAAGAAAAGACACAGAGAGAGAGAGAGAGAAAGAGAGAGAAACACACAGAGAGAGAAACAGGGTTTTCATTTACTTTAGCCAAATCTCCTATGGTTGAATACATCTGCTGTTTTTCCATTGAAAATGAAACATTTTTGATTGGATGTGAAAATCTATGTCATGAAATGCCCCTAAGAGAACAAAACATGTATCAGATGATAATGGACGTTATTACTAGAAGCAACATTTTTTTCCTTTCTTTTTTTCTTCCTGGCTTTCACTCAACCATAGTAAATTTTAATATGTGCGTCAGGTTTCCTGCAATTTATATAAAATGAAACTCTTTGGGGAAGATAACATCTGAATGTCCACATGATTTCATGCTGCCGTCTCAACTTAGATCTAAAGCTAATGTCAGTTTCTTGTACTTTCTCCTGGGGAGATGTCAACAGAATATGCTGGTTCAAAATAAATGTGTTCCTGTGACTGGTATTTCTGATGGACCTGGCCGCGTTTCTGCTCTCAGCAATCACCCCCTTCTGTGATCACAAGAAAAATAGGCCCATCTTTTAAGACAGGAATAATTTTTGCTTCACTGAGTACTGTTTCTAAAGTTGGTTTTAGTATCAAAATCTATTGGTTAATCTTTCTGTCATATCATATTATGCAAAGAAGTTTACTGTACACTTGGTTCCCAAAACATCTTGAAGTCTAATGGAATATGATTGGTTCTTGAGGATTTCAGAACCAAATAATTATTTCTCTTATTTTTCTGGTCTTCTGAATTTGCTTCTCCCAGCTATCATTCTTTTGCTCTTTTTACCAACTGAGGGTTGATATATAAATACTTGGAGGCATCACGAGATATACCAGCAATGCATATTGAAAGAGTGTATATTTGGATTAAAATAACTAGAATGGTAGAGGATGTCAGACTGTAGTCAACAGATGACCATTGAAATAACATGCCTTTGCTACTTGGATAAGTCCAAGTTAGGAGAGCAGATAAGAATGACACTGTCTTTCTTCAAAAGGCTGTGTGGTCAAGTGGGCATGTGAAGCCACTTGTGTTGTATGATAGAGCAAAGGGAGCCAGTATCAACAAGTAGGTTCTACCTCCCAAATATCTCTTAAGCCTATTTCTCTTCATCTCAGCTCCCCGCCGCTCTAGTGTGTGGCATTTTCGTCTCTTGCTGGACTACTCCCACAGCCTTGTAAGTGGTCTCCCCAGTTCACTTTTGCTTCCCTCCGATTCATGTCTTTCCCCTGCTTAAAACACTTCAATAACTTCACATCACTTTAAATAAAGAGTTCAGAGTCTTAGCTGGCCTACCTAGTCCTGAATAACTCCGTTCTTTTCCCGCTTCCAGTCCCATTGCTTTGCCCCTTAGTCTTCGCTTCTCCTGTAGTGGGGTTCTTTGAGGAAGTGAACACTCATGCATCTAGGTAACTTCATGCTGCAGCCTTGGCCACATACTTAGTTTCCTTCCTCTAGTTTTGGAAACTCCGGATGTGTTTATCCTTTGGTTGAAACTGTCCTTTCTTTTTCAAGCACTTCCTTGGTGCTCCTCCTTGTACCATCTGACCCATACTTATTCTTTGGGCTTCATGCATGCTCCTCCCGTCCTCTCCAGGCTGTTTCCTCTCTACTCCTTTTCCCCGTGCTTTTCCTGTAATTATGTACACCGTGTCTATTTTCCCAGCTTCCTGAACACTCTGTAAAGGAAGTGCTGCTTTTCTTACCCACTGCTGTATTGTAGCACCTAGAATAAAGTATTTGTTTGCCAGGAGATGCTTACATAATAAATAAATAAATAAATAAATAAATAAATAAACAAATGTTGAGTGAAAAACCAAATAAAAGGAAAGAATAAAATGAATTTTTATTTTTTCTATTTGCAACGACTCTAACACTGGAAGTTTTTAGCCGATAAATTGGACACGTTTTTGGTGGGGATGTTGTCCTTTACTAAAAGTATTCCCATAGACACTAAAAAACCCCGCAGCTCTTCCGAAGGTGGGAGGGTGCCGCCCCTGCCCAGGCCTTCGGATGACGGTGTCTCCGGAGGACACCGCGGCTGGGCCTGTCGGTCCTCAGTGGGCTGTGCCTCTCCGGGTTTTCTCGGTCACCATGCAGCAGGTGTTTGCTGAGCGCCAGCTGTGTGGGGTGTGGCAGGCACTGCTGCAGGCTGTGGCTGATGAGGCAGAAAAGCCCAGCCCTCCTGGAGCTCACCTGGAGCGTCCACGAGAGAGACAGAAGCTCAAGACAGCCCCAGTGGATAGGAAGGCTAAGGCCTCAGCGATGTCGGACTCCCCAGCGGAGGTGAAGACACAGCCTCGGTCCACACCCCCCAGCATGCCGCCCCCACCGCCTGCCAGGTCCCAGGGAGCCACCCCCACTCGCCTTCACGCCACACACACATCGAGAGGACGGGCCTGCTGCGCTGCCCCACGGCCGTTTTCACGGTTGCTTAAAATGGTCTATGGTCTGTCTCTTGATGAACTGCAGCAGCCCCTCGCCGACAGCCATCAACGGTGCACCGTCCACACCCAACGACTTCAGCAATGGCCCGGCCACCTCGTCCACAGCCTCCCTGTCCACACAGCACCTGCTCCCGGCCTGCGGGGCCCGGCAGCTCAGCAAGCTCAAGCGCTTCCTCACCACCCTGCAGCAGTTTGGCAGCGACATCTCCCCAGAGATCGGGGAGCGCGTGTGCACGCTGGTGCTGGGCCTGGTGAACTCGACGCTGACGATCGAGGAGTTTCATTGCAAGCTTCAGGAGGCCACCAACTTCCCTCTGCGGCCATTTGTCATTCCTTTTCTGAAGGCAAACCTGCCCTTGCTGCAGCGGGAGCTCCTGCACTGCGCCCCGCTGCCCAAGCAGACGCCCTCCCAGTACCTGGCCCAGCCGAGCAGCTCCTGCTGGACGCCAGTGCATCCTCCCCCGCGTCGACTCCTCAAAGCTGCTGCTGGAAGTCAACGAGAACCGCAAGAGGAGGACGCCCGACAGGACCAAAGAGAATGCATCGGACCGTGACCCGCTGCACCCCGAGCACCTCAGCAAACGGCCATGCACCCTGAACCCTGCCCAGCGCTACAGCCCCAGCAACTGGCCGGCACAGCCCACGCCGCCGCCGCACTACCGCCTGGAAGACACGGTCGTGGCCCACCACTTTCGAGACCCCTACCGCCACCCGGACCTCCAGGAGCTGCGGGAGCGCCCGCGGCCGCTCGTGGTACCTGCGTCCCGGCAGGAGGAAGTGATCGAACACAAGCTCACAGAGCGTGAGTGGGCAGAAGAGTGGAAGCATCTCAACAGCCTCCTGAACTGCATCATGGACACGGTGGAGAAGACGCGGCGCTGGCTCACGGTGCTGCGCCGGCGCCAGGAGGCTGGCTGCGAGGAGCTCCACCACTGGGTGCGGCGCTACCTCGATGCAGAGGACGTGAAGAAGGGCCCCACTCCCGCCACCGCTCGGCCCCGCAGCAGCTCTGCCTGCCCTGAAGGGTCTCAGCCAGACACCCCCCGGGAGTTCCTGCCGAGAACCCTCGCTGGCTACATGCCTGAGGACATCTGGAGGAACGCGGAAGAGTCGGTGAATGAGGTGAAGCGCCAGGCGATGTCAGAGCTGCAGAAAGCCGTATCGGACGCAGAGCGCAAAGCGCACAAGCTCATTACCACGGAGCGCGCCAAGATGGAGCGGGCCCTGGCCGAGGCCAAGCGGCAGGCCTCCGAGGACGCGCTGACGGTGGTCAACCGGCAGAAGGACTCCAGAGAGAGCTGCTGGAACTGTGGGCGGAAGGCCAGCGAGACGTGCAGCGGCTGCAACGCAGCGCGCTACTGCGGGTCCTTCTGCCAGCATTCGGACTGGGAGAAGCACCACCACGTGTGCGGCCAGAGCCTGCAGGGCCCTGCGGCCTTGGTGGGCGACCCGGTGCCCGGACTGCCCGACCCCGCCAACAGCCTGGGCCCCTCCCTGCCCATGGGTGCTGCCAGCCCCAGCAAAGCCGGCTCTGCGGAGCCTTCTCGCCCCGGCTCCCCCAGCCTGCCTGGCCCGCTGGACGCCGTGCCCCGCTGACCCGACTGGCCCCCGACCCGCTGGACACAGTACCCTGCTGACCCCACCCAGCTCTGGGCCCTCCGGATGCCCGATACCCAGCCCGCCAGACGCTGCGCCCCGCCCGGCCCCGGGGAGTCGACCAGTTAGAGTCAGTGCTGCTACTGCCGCTCCCCAAAAGACACAGAACCAACAGAACCGCATTCAGTGCACCCGCCTCAGCTACCTGATGATTCCACGAACAGACCTCTTGGCCGCCTCTCTCCTCAGGCACCCTCAGAAGCCTCCACTGAGCTTTAGATGGCAGAGCGATGCCGCAGGAGCGTTGGCTCTTCCCGCCTCTTTCTTTTCCTCTTTCTCCCCCCCCCCGCCCCCCTTCTCTATCCTCTGCCCTCTTTCTCTGTGACTATCACACACTTTCTCTTCAATGACTAATTCTAATTGGTGGCTTACATTTTCAGCAAAGAATTTTGAGGGGTTTTGTTTGATGGCAAAAGAGCTGCTCAGAAATGGACAAAGAGAACTGTGGGGGTTCTCCCTCTCCTGATTGAAAAGGGAGAAAGAAAACTGTGATCTGCGCGCCAGCTGGGCCCCCTCCACCAGGGGCCTGAGGCAGACCCTGGAAGACTGAAGGAAAGATTTCAGTTTCTGACTCAAGAAGCATTATTGGTTTCAGATTTTTTTCCTGTAAACTCTTTGGTTTTAAGTAAAAATCCAAAAAGTTTTTTTTATAAAAGCAAAGGAAGCACGCTTGTGAACTACCTTGCTAACTAGCCAGCTAAGGATACCGGACACACCTCTGCTCCAAAGGAAATCCAAAAACGCAAACACAAGAAATAAAAAAAAAAAAAAAAAAAAAAAAAAAAAACCCTCTTGCTAGAAACAATGCAATGGTATATAAAAGACCTAGTAGGTTAACTGCACTGTATCCTTTGATTGCTCTTCCAAGTTAGGTGATTCTATGATTTGTAAATTATTTTGAAGCTGTGTTTGGGGGCTGGAGGACAAGTAATGTGAATAAAAAGATTACTAAGAAAGAGACTAAGCTTTTAGCTAAAGATGAATGATTTGAACGTCTGGTTCTCCAATTTGCATGAGAAGGTTTGTGCATGTGTGGATGCTATGTCCTTGATCATGGATGAAGGTGATAGTCACTCATTCATTCATTCATTGAACAAAGGTTTCCCTTATGGGAACACAGCAGAGAACAAGAAAATAAGGTGCTTTCCCTCAAGAAGCATCTATTCCAAAGGATAATAAACAACAAATACATGAATAAATAAGGTAGTAATTAATAATTAAGAAGAATGAGATAGGAGGGTGGCTTCCTTAATCATAGAAGACATATGTAAGAAGGGAGTATTTGAGTTGAGATTTGAATGACAAGAAGGAAAAGTCAGATCTGAAGAAAGAAAAAGAAGCATAGAATGGACCCCTAGACACAGTCCTTAAGGCAGAAGTAAACTTGGCATGTTGAAAGGGGAGAAGGAAGGCCAGTGTAGACGGCACAGTGTGAAGAATGAAAGGGTGGTGCAGAACAAGGTTGCAGCAGTGGTTGAGACAGATCAGGTGAGGGTTTGTAGGCTATGAGGAGGAGACTGAATTCCATGATAATGAACTGAGCAGTCATGGAAGTTTTGAGTAGAGGACTTACCTGCTCACAGTTTGAGTTTGCCTTTCTGTCCTTATTGTAAAAACCTTTTAGACTCATCTACCCTGTGGCTCAAGGTAGGATTTCCTGATTTTGCTCACACATGTTCTACTCTATTCCTAGTTAGAGGGGAGCTCTGCTGTACTACCCAAAACAATTCCAAGAGAGTATCTTCTGAAAGTATTGGCTTAAAGAAAGGCATTTTTGGAAGCTGGAAACATTGTGCAAGAGCTCAACGTTGAAAGTAAAGGCAATAACCACAGAAAGCTATTTGACTGATGTGTCAACTTTTACATTTTTAAATCTTCCATCCTCTTTTTTGTATTTCTAGAGAAATCATGGTTTCTCCCTTAGGACCTTTTAAATAGCAGGTCAACTTCATACAAAATGGAAGAAGTCAACCTCATTCTGCATGACTACAAAAATTCCAACCCCTCAGAATATATCTAAATATTTCCAAAGAGTGCTGACATGTCCTGGTTGATTTTTATCATTCTCGCTCTGAATTGTAACTTCTAACTCCTCACCCTACCATTTTCGGACGTTTGTCTCTAGTTCTCCTTGTCATTTAACTCTTTTCTCTTTGTTTTGCCTAAAATGTTGACATAGCACCTTCCTTTATTTTCAAGATAGTGCTAACAAGAGACTGAAGCCAAGTTGCAGCAGGATAGTAAACTTTTCTTGAACATTGAAGGTATATAAAGCCATGTTAATTGAGACAAGAACAATTTGACTCAAAACTAGACATGACTACTGCCTGAACTGGTCATCTGTCATCTGTCACAGGAAACGCCTTCTGGATGGTGCTCACTGTGGCTCTGGACTGCCATCCTGTTGATGACGCCTTCTTCTCATTCTCTCATTTTGTCTCTTCCACCAAAAAATGGACCCCCAACTTTGTTTTTTGATCTGTAAAGAAATCTGCATTTTTTGTTAGTGTCCTTGCTATGGGTTGGATTGTATCTTCCCCAAATTCCTGTGTTGAAGTCTCAATCCCTAGTACTTCAGTATGTGATGGTATTTGGATATAGGGTCTTTAAAGAGGTAATTCTGTTG